GAACTGGGATTCGACAAGCGACCTTAGTATGACAATTTTGTCATTCCAGGCTCCTGAGGCTTGTAGGATATCACGATGCGCAGCAGCCGCATTCCTTGTACGGGCAATCAATTCCCGTGCTTGTTCGGAGGCATCTCGAGACAGGGAGAAGGCCACCCCCAAAACTTTCAGCGACTCACCGTGCGGGGCAATGGTAAAGACATCATCAACTAGTTTCGCCCGACGAGGCCCAACATAATGCTCATTTGCCACGATTTTGGTCTTGTCTCTAGCGAGGGAGAGGCCAGCTTGGCGGAGACAGCGATCGACCGTTGCAATGCGCCTACACAAGCGTGCGAACTTAGTCTCAACAATGAAGATGTCATCCTGAAAGAAGAGAAGATCAATGTCAACCCCTGGAACAGGCTGCCCAAGTTCACCCCATTGGCGACATTGAACCAAGCCGGAGAGCATGCTGTCAATGACTAGCCCAAAAAGTTCAGCACTCTCGGGGGCGCCTTGCTTAATGCCATTGTCAGGTAGAAGCGCAACAGGTCTGCCACCCGGAGCATTCCCAACCAGTCGATGAACTGCAAGTTGTTGAAGGAGATATCGGAGTTCATACTTCACCCCTTTCTGTCTCAATCTCTCAAGAAGAAGGTTCGCAACTTTAGCTCTGTCAATCTTGTCAAATGCACCTGCAACGTCAAGCTTGCAGAGGATGATCGGTTCAGACCATTCCTTTGTAACATCACGTAGACGGGAAATGGTGCCGAGAAGGTCTGCGGCTTGTCTCCCTTTTCCGCAACAACTGATCTTAGATCCCCGACGCATCATCGGCAAAGCTCTTGCACAGACAAGACGATTGACCAATTTGTGGAACGCAGACGAAACGCAGATAGGGCGCAGGTCCGATGGCTTTGAAGGCAGGTCAACTTTTGCGAGAAGTGCAAGGAAGCTGGTTTCCCAACTGCCAGGAAGTTCCCTGCTCTCAACGATATGATTGATCAGCCCCAGGAACTGGACACCCAGGACGTCATGATCAGCGAGAGCCCGAAGTAAGTGCACCCCGATGCCATCAGGACCTACGGCGCTCCTACATTTCATCCCTTGGAGTTCAGTGCGAACGTCAAGTAACGAAAAGGGCGTGAAGTCACCCTCCTCATCGACACTATCAATCAGGTTCTGGAGGGTAGCTTCCCATTCCACAGCAGTCCTGGCAGGATGCACCATTTTGCTTTCAAGATGACAAGCGATGTCGGCAGCAAGGTCTTTGGATCCGCTTTCAGAGAGAAGATGACCCCACCAACCTCGCTTGCGTTTCTTGTCATTCTGAAGAGACCTGTATTGTTCCCAATCACCCCGAAGGATACGGCTGAGTCGAGCCTGAGACCAATCACGACGGGCTTGCTTGCGCATACGATGCACTGCTTTCCAGTCGCGCGCAGAGTTCGATGCACGGGCTGTCACAATAGCGGTCTTGATCTCGGCAGTGTCGACAAACTTTGCCGAAGGTCTGGGACGTGTGCACTCCTTCGCAATCGCAATGATGTCATCCTCATCAACGAGAACTGTATCAGGAAGCAGTTTGTGAACCCATCTCGCTCTGGAGTCGTTGCCCCATCTGACACGACCGGGTCCTTGGGGTGTCCAGATCTCACAAAGTACAACGGCATGATCAGAACCGACAGCGTGGCGACGATCAGGCTCAATAACAAGTGGGCTCGTGCGAAGGAGTCTGGAGAAGACCATATCGATTTGTCTGCCCTCTCTGGTCGCATCCCTGGGATAGTGAGTAGCTGTGAGTCTGTCAGCAGGTCGAGGAGCAACGGAACTCACCCCTTGCTGAAGAAGTTCATGAATCAGGGTGTTCAGGTTGGAACTGCCGCTGCCAAGCTCAAGGTCACCATTGTCAGTAGTGTTCCAGAAGGGGACCTCATTGGCATCAACACCACAAAGGACAGGGAGGTGACGAAATTTTCGAGGACAGCTCTTGGCAAAAGCCTGAGCAGCAGCCTGGTAGATGGCGGTCGTGACACCAGTGTGACAATGAGCAGACCCAAGAACAATTCGTCCAATGCCAATAATTCGTGCAACGACCCAAATGCCACGCTCCGTGGAAATCTTGTGGACAATCGAATCGAACTTATCAAGGGCAATGCCGACCGCAACACCACGCCACTGTTTGTCATCCCTAAAGGTCACCCAATGAAATTCGTCACTGTCAAAGGCATCCCAGCCAGCTTCACGCCGAGCAACTTCTTGCACGAAAACTATGTCGCAGTCTTTGCACGCGACATCCAACAATTCAAGCGATTGGCCACCCAAGTTCCAGGTACAACATCGTCCCCATCTGCGTATTGCACACTGTCGGGACGACGACACCCCAGGATCCTTAGGATGTACAGGGTGAGTACCATGGTCAGGAAGCGAATTCACCCCAGAAAAGGGGGTGAGACCATCATCGAGGGGCATTCACAGTTCGCGCTCAAAGGCGCTCCGTGCATCATCTGTGGAGCTCCCTGAGATTCTTGCTGCAGCTGAGACATTGATCCATCCGCCAGTGAGGAGCACAATCTCGTCCCCGTTCTTTGGCTGGCGATGAGTGGAGCTTGCAATCTTTTCCGAGCCATTCCAGACAGTTCCCATGTTCCAATCACAATCATAGCTGGTGACGAGCGTGTTGGCAATCCGTTCTTCACCGCCATGATCCTTGGCAAGTGCAATAACAACTCGTCTGGCCAGGCTAACATGTGCTGTCCTGATCCTCGCGCTCTTAGTCTTCACGAAGGATGCCCATAAGGTGCGTTCTTCCCCAGCTGATCGGGTACTGGGGAGAACATGTTTGATTCGTCCAAGGGCACGCACGATTTCCCACATTCTCTTCTTTGTGTCCTCGAAGGTCTCCCCATCACGGATTTGGAAGCGCAACATGCCAACGGACCGACGAGGGCCAAAGATCAACAGCTTATCACAATCAAGCAAGCCTTTGATTTCTGGATGGTCAAGAAAAGCCCTGGACTCTTCCTCGATTACACCCCGCCTGGTATCTTGAAGCCACCCTCCAACGACCAAGGTCCTCTTGTCCTCCTCAGACAGGAAGTCCCCTTTCTGGTCCTCGTGTCCACCAGGTTGTGCAGCAGCATCCTTCCTGCCTTGCTTTCTGAGATACTCAGCCCAGGGATCTTGGTGAGGCGCATCAGACGGTGGTGGCAAAGGAGGATGTGGGGCTGGAGCAGGGCGGGATTGTATGTCCTCAAACTTCACCTTCATCTTCTGGACTTCCTCTGTGAGGTTCTCAAGCGCCTTGGAATGTTGTGTGGTCACTTCACGCTGTTTCCCAATGTCTTTCTCAACGACTCTCGTGCGGGCCTGGAGATTGGTGACCTCAAAGCTAGATCGGGCTTGTTCTTTTTCCACTACATCAAGACGTCCTTGAAAATTCTTCCAGGCACTCCTCATCTCTGACACATGCCCAACAAGGAGTTCACGGATTTCACGAGCGGTAAGTGGTTTCTCCTCTCCTAGCTGGGGCCTCTTGGAAGGACTGTCCTCTTCATCTTCGTTCTCAGAGCTGTCAGGGATCGGGTGAGCATGCGGGTCACGACTGCGACGATAGTTTCTTTCACCACGTTTCCTCTTCTCCAACTTGACCTTCATCTCGGCATCCCTTCCTCGATCAGAAGCACCATCTTCGGAGAAGTCATCTGCCAGCTCCGTCGGAGATCCAATCCCTCCACGGTTATCAACTTCCACCTGCATCTCGGCCGGGAGGGTCTCGTCATTGTCAACCATCTCGGGCAGGACAGGCCACAAAGTCACCCTCGGAGGAGCAATCCCAGAAGCCAAGAGGTCACCCCAGACAGAGAATGGAGCCAGGTAGAACGAAGAAGCCGAACTTCACCACGACGAGCACCGGAGGAAAGAACTCCACAGAAAAGTCACCCAAGAAGACAAAGAAGAAGAAGAAGAAGAAGTAGAATGGAAAAAGGATGACAAAGAAGAGAAAGAGGAAGCCGGAGTCGCACGTTTCCCCGATGGCCAGGAGGAGATCACGCCCTCGAAGAAGTCGTCGAAGTTGATGGAAAAGGACACCCCAGATGATGATATAGTCTCACCGCCAGGAAGTTCTCCACGTGGGCCACCAGGCGAAAGCACCCCAAGTGTTCAAGGATTCAGGTAGAACAGAATCAGGTAGAGGCACACGAACACCAACGACTCCGTGAGGGACACCCCGGAGAACACAAGCGCCAAGCTCGGAAGAGGGGAAGGGACAGGGGCACCTAAGTGAAAGCTGGCCATCGCCTCGAGCACAACAGCTTGAGCCATAGCCATTGGTTTAGGGGTTGAGGGTATAGGGTTTAGGGGTTTAGGGTTTAGGGGTTAGGGTTTAGGGGTTTAGCGTCTAGGGGTTTAGGGGTTTAGGGTCTCGGTGCTCACACTCGGACAATCCAGGCGAGGCATGTGGTTCGGAGTCTGACAAGTGAAACAACGCTAATGGGAAAGATCAGAATACATATAGCAACAGCTTAGGGTTTAGGGGTTTAGGGGTTTAGATGGTTTAGGGGTTTAGGGTTTAGGGGTTTAGGGTTCAGGGGTTAGGGTTTACGGGTTTAGCGTCTAGGGGTTTAGGGGTTAAGGTTTTTTTTTCCAGGGGTTTAGGGTTTAGGGTTTCCGACACGCACACTCGCAAAGCAGGTGCGGACTTCAGGGCGACTGGTTTTTTCCTCTCCTACTTCGCCAGGACAAAGTCTGCATCTCCGAAGCAACTGGCTTTAGGGTTTAGGATTTAAGTCTCTCCGGTCTCTCGTTCCTTCTATGTACTTGTCCAGTAGCTGGGGAATTAAACGTTATACAGTAATCTTTAGGACTTTAAAGGTTACCTACTCTACTGCTGTGAGTCTTAATTACGCCAGGCTTTGAGGGGATCTCTCCCGGTAGGGCCCGCCCGAATGTTGAGCTGTCGCCCCAACACCCCAGAAGAAAACACACAAAAGAATCCCATGCCGCGGTCCAGGTGCGCAGATTACGGGGCCGTCGCCTCGCATCTTCACGTCGTATCGGCCTCTCGGTCCCATGCTTTCGAGAAGCTCTACGGGCCTCTGGGGTGTACTTGAAGGTTCATGGGCAGTGATGACCGGGGTTTTCAGCAGGGTGCCCACGACTCAATCCCATATTTGGGGACTTATAGCCTCCCTTATAACTACCCATGAACCTCGGTCAGGCTTGACGCGATTCATTAATACGGTTCCTTGGCTTTCCATGTTGAGAATCAGGAATTCCGCTGCAGAGCAGGGGTCGGCCTTCAACGGGCCGCCTGCAGCAGTGCACCTAAAAAGGCCGCGTTTATTCAAAAGTCCGACGCAAGCATGCCGTCAGCAGTACCACAACCAGCACCTTCGTCGTCACTATGCTCACCATCACGACCACTATCGTCATGGTAATCGTCACTATCGGTCATTTCCAGTCACCACCATCGCTGCCACCACCAACACCACCATCACTACCTGCGCCCGGAGCTGGAGCAACTACCACGAACATCAAAAGCACTCACCCCTTACATCGTTTTGCTGTTGCTGAGATTGCAGACGCAGCCGATCACCAGCGAAATTCAAACGATCAGAGGACGACTCGGAATCTACATAGAGATCTGGGTTCAAAGAGCAGCCAGCCTTCACCCAAAACGGTGGCCAACCCCAAAACGTTACCTATACTATTCTGGGCATTCCCGAATACAATTGCACTATATATCCCAAAACCTTGACCCTAAAGCCAGGGCCTTTCGCCGCATCGTAGCCTTGCACCTGCGCCTTCTTCCCGTTGTGCCCGACCGCCTGCTCTGATCTCGCACCCTAAACCCTAAACAGACTAAACCCTATTCCTTAGGATCCCCGCATTGTTGGTTTCAGGGGTTTAAGGATTAAGGGGTTTAGGGGTGTAGAGGTTTAGGGGTTTGGGGGTTTGGTGTTTCCGGGTTTGGGGGTTTAGGGCAGGATTGTGGCGCTTGGGGTTTTGTGTTGTGATTTCGAGCTCTCTGTGGCGGTTCCCCTGTGGGTACCCTAAATATTAGGTGCCGTATTAAAATAAGGATCCAGAAAGGGACCCTAATATTGACAACCACCTTTATATAGGGTTTAGGGTTTACGCTCTCGCAACTCGGACAAGCCAGACGAGGTCTCAGGTTCGAAGTGCCTTGACTGGTCGCCAGAGATTGCTGACTCTCACGGTTTAGGGCGTAAGGTGCAGGGTTTAGGGTTTAGGGGTCGTGTTCGAGATTGCAGGTGTTTTAAATGTCGCCTCTCCTCCTGCGGACTCAACAGCCTGTTTGCGGCCAGCACTCCAGCAGAGTGATCGGAAATTCCTTTGCAAGATCTTTCTTACCCATGACTCTCCTCCGGAAACTCACCGGGCAACAAGATGGGGAGTTCGCTACTAGTAGAGCAGGGATTATTTCTGAGATTCTCTCTCACAGACATCCGATGCCTCTACCAGCCCATGCACGGTCACCATCTTCCCGCGAGGGAGCGTAAACGGTGTCCTGGGTCGGTTCGGGCATCCACATCACAAACCATATGGGAGTTTCCGAAAATAGGGGACCCTACTATAGTACCATAAATATTAGGATCCTTATTATACGGACCCGAAACAAGGCGACCCCTAATTTTCCGAAACTCCCATATGAAACAAATGTCGATCGGAGGACCGTAGCTGAGAAAGACATGGTATCGGGGTATCCCAAAAACACCGAAACATCGACAAGATTTCACCAAGTTCCTCTTCGGAACTCTGGCGATTGCTGCAAACTACTTCGGTAATCATAGCAGCCGAATGCATCACACACACACACAGAGTGTCGTTCTCAACAATCGAATACTGAGTTCTGGCCATGATGTTGCAGTTGGTTTCTCAACAGGGGCCAATGCTTGACAGCCACGACGTCACGACGGCGACTACAACGATGACGATCACAACAAACAAAGAGCTACGTTACCAGCACCGGCACCGCATCAGCATCAACAGCAGCAGCAGCAGCAGCACCACCACCACCACCACCACCACCACCACCACCACCACCACCAGCGCCATCAGCAGCAGCAACCTAACAACACCCAAAACACTACCACTAGCCATTTTGAAACCAAGCGAAGCGCACACCAGCGACAGAACGAGTCGCCGCATAGTCAAGAGGAAAGCAACTAGTGACGATGCAGAAACACGTGCAGCACACTCAGCACACTTCGTATTCACACGCGGACTTGTACGAACAGCCACAAGTCGAGAACAGCATGCACCCAACTACCAACAATCATGGGCTGCTTGCTGGCTTGCATCCTCTTGTGACCCCCCAAACCTACATCCTGAATCTAAACAGAACAACCTGAGCCGAACCTTCGAGTAGGAAAAGCTTCGGCGAGGTTTTGCGCTGACGCTTGCGCTGGCAGCCGTCGTCGGTATTGACAGCACGGAAGAGCTTCTCGAGGTCCAGGTCCTGCTTGGAGGCCCTTTTGACTTAGTAAGTAGGGTTAGTAAGGTGGGTTATGGGGATTATGATAGGGTTTCTAGGGGATACTAAGTAGACTTACTAAGTCAACAGGGCCTCCAAGTGGTCGGGTTTGGCTGCTTTAGGGTTCTCAGAGGTTTGGGCGGGTTTTCGGGTTCCTTTGAAGGGATCCATAATGGATCTAGAAGGGCTCTAGGGGTGTTGAGGTTTTAGGGTCTAGGGTTTGGGCTTAGGGTTCAAGGTTTTTTGGTTTAATCGTTTAATCAAGGTTCGGGTTAGTGGGGTCTTACTGATACTTCCTAGAGAGCCCAGTAACCCTGAAGCCTTGATTCAGGATTCCCTGAGATCTAAGCCCCCTCTAAGTCATTTAAGGGATAATGGGCTCTCTGAGATAAGGGTTCACTGGTTTGGCATCAGGAGACTCCTAGGCCTAGGAAGCCGCACATCGGAATTCAGTAATATAGGGGCCTTAATAATTAGAATAGGGTTTTGGGGCCCATTATACTACAATTTTAATAAGCAATCCCCCAAATAGTATCGGTAATTTTGCTGTGTCATTTGCATTCTAGTTTGGGTATCAGTGAGTTGCTTGCAAAACGATAAGGTTCGGAAAGTCGACGTCGTTGGGCGGCGCCTGCAGCTAAGAGAGCCCGCGGCCAGGACAAAGACAATCTTTGCGGGGCTTGTAATTCGGGCACAAACGAATCGAAAGCTTATCACGCAAATCCAGAAGGGGACGAACCAAAGGTGGATGAGATGATGTGAGGGAAGCATGCAAGAACGCGCTGCTGCCTGTAGCCCCCGTGCCGTGCGACATCTAAGTCCAGTAAACACCCGAAACCGTGAATCCTGAATTAAACCCTAAGACCCTCAACCCTAACCCCCAAACAAACCCTAAACCAAAAAAATACCCTAAAAACCCAAACCCCCTAACCCTAAGCCCCCGAAGCCCCGACCCCGACATTCCCGGCCTTACCCAGCCCACCGAAAAGCTTGTCGCTGCACCCGGGAAGCCGGCTGCCCGGGATGCCTCACGTCACGGGAGATCACTTGGATCATGGGATTTAGTAAGTAAGGTTATAAGTACCTTAATTGGGGTTAGAAGTATAGTTACCCTAATTATAACCCTAGTTACTAAGACCCATGTCATGGTTCGTTTAAGGGTGCCGGGTTCCTGTAAGGGTTCACTTTCAGGGTTCTCTCAAGGGCAATACAGGGTTTTGGGTTTGCGGGGGTCATCTCTGGTCGGATACCCTGCAGTGCAGTCGGGCGCGTACACCCAGCAAGGATGATCTCGACTGCAACCTTGCCGTTGAAAGTACTTTTCATGGACACGAAACACTCGTAACCCGTATACCCGAGCCCTAAATCACCGCTGCCCTAAGCCTAGCTCAGTTCTTTCCCACCTGGTCTCCAAACGCCCCTACAGTTGAAACCTCGGCCTGTGAGGCGGCACTCTAAAGGGTCCCATAAATCTATTCTCGAAGGCCTGGTCTTGTGGAAGGGCTTCATATAGGCGACTCTCACTCACTAATTAGAAGTGGGTTTGGGGGAACTTGTAGTGTAGTTAGGAATACTATGGGCAATTGTTTTTCCAGGGTTACTACGGTCAGGGTTACTCGAAGTGAATCCTTAAATCGCAACGCTTTTTCTGCCTTCTCCATATTAGTTGGCCGCTGGCCCACCAAAGCAAGAAATTGGGCGGCTTCAAGAGTGAACAATTGGGTTTTGCGCTCCGACAGCATGGTACACAAGTGATGCAAGTGGTTGCTCCTTTCACCCGATTCCGAGCCACATTCCTACCACGGCTGTTAGCCTTTGTTGGGTGCCTCACCTTCACGATACGCTGCGAATGCACAAAACCTCTGATCGAAGAAATTTAAATGCCGAGCATCGGTCGCAAGATCGAATCCAGGGAGCTTTACTATAGGGGCCTTAATGCTCATGGAACAGGGTGTTGGGACACAATGTGGTAACATTATGATAAGGAACCCTGGGAATCTACGTGCTGGCCGCAGACACCGCCGGGATGCTGCCGACCAGCTCCACTGCGCACGGCCCGCACTGGGCTCAGCGTTGCTTGATCTGAGGCCCGCCGAAAGTTTTCTCAACGTTGGCCAAGGCAGTGTCCCAATTCACTGAGTTGAAGAGCTCGTCGACGTTGCTCTGCTTCGCGACGAGGAGGGCGCGCTTGCCGTAGGGAACGGACTTGAAGAGCTCAAGGGCAAGACCTCCAGGGCTCATCTCAGCTGCCAGCCACACCCATCCCTTTCCGTCATCGACGACCTTTTGTGTCTCATCCACGCCGTAGCCAACACCACCCTTTGTTACGAACATTGGGTTCGCCATCTGCGCTTTGAGGCCCTGGACGCCCACAGCGATGTCCTTTTTGCCGATGCTGCCTGGGGGCGGGCCTTTCCAAAGGCCGGAGTAGCGCTTGAAGCCTTGGGGCGTGAATTCGCCGTGGAAGAACTTGACCACGAGCTCAGAGAGCACCGTCCCCTTTGGGGGGTCACCTCCACTGCCGGTCAGCAGGGAAGAGTAGAAGGCCTGGATGTCCGCATCACTGACATCGTACTCGCCGCCTCCCCGTGCCTGGAGCTGCGTGCGAGGAGCTTTCGGCGCAGCGGGCGCAGCCACAAAAGCCGCGAGCCGGACACCCACGTACCCTGCAGCCACAAGGCACAGGCAAACGAGAGGGCGGCTCGAGCGTGGCATCGTGCGGAGCGCTGCAGGCCAAAGGGGCAACGAAGAGCTGCAAAGGCTTGCGCCAAAATGACTGCAGGTTGAAACCCTGATACTCTGATACACCCTACTAAACCCTGCATTCAGAGTTTATCGTTCAAAACACGTTCGCCGCATGATGCTCGGGTGATACTTGTTGCATCCTCAGCTCGCGTGTCCGGCATGCACTTCGGAGCGACAGAAACCCTATATACATATACCCTAAACCCATGAACCTTCATAAACCCTAGAGCCATAAACCCTATTAAACCCTAAACTCATATAAACCCTATACCCCTTTTTCATAACCCCCTAAACCCTAGAAACCCTAAAAAGGCCAAAGGACTTTTGAAGAGGAAGTCCAGCTCCTCCGCGCTGATGCGTGTCGTCTTGGCACCTCCAGGCAGGTGCTTAAAGTTTAAGGGTTTACCTTAAGCCGGAATAACCTACCTGTTTAGGGTTCCTTATTATGATTTCCTTATATAAGTCCTGAAAAAGGTAGGTTATTCCGGCTAAAGGTGAGCGGTTATCAAAACCTCTTTTCAAATCGTTGACGCTAACAAACCCTTCCGCGTCTAGGGTGCGCGCAGCTTCCGCGGAGCCAACTGTCCCTTACGCGCGGGCCCTTGAGTCAGCGCTTAAGCTTTAAGCCTTCCACGCGCCCTTCCGCATTTCAGGTCTTTGCGCAGGACTGAAACCCAAGCTTGCAGTTGTCCATGTGGTTGGAGGCCGGCTCACTCTGTTGCCAAACCTGCCCCAAGTTTCGGCTGCTGTGTGTTGAGTGTCGGCAGTGACGGGTCCAACAGATTCGTTGAGCGCCGCTGCCCGAGCTTTGACCATGGCTTACATTTGGGGCTCATGTTGCTAAGGACTGTCACACAAAAGGGATGGGGGATAGGTGGAAGTTGGAGGGCGTCCCTTCCGCGCGCCTTCCGCGCGCCTTGCGCGCGAAGCCCAATCTAAATCTGATTTTGGCGGGTTTCGGATCTGTGAATAAGAATAAGACTAAGGATAAGGATAAGGGTAAGGATATGGATAAAGATAAGGATCAGAATAATAAGGCTAAGGATAAGGACAAGGATAAGGGTAATACGGTAAGGATAAGGATAAAGAATAAGACTAAGGATAAGGATAACGATAAGGGTAAGGATAAGGATAAGAATCAGGATAATTAAGAATAAGGGTAAGGATAAGGCTAAGGGATAAGAATAAGACTGAGGATAAGTCTTTATAAGACCTCAAGATACCCTTCCGCGCACCCCTTCCGCACATCCGTTTTTAAAGCAACCGGTGCGCAAGCCTTCCGCGCATGCGACTGTTGCTTACGCGCACTTGCGCGCCCATTCGTTAATGCCGGCCCTAGTCTGGCTAGCTCTTCGATGGTTTAGCTCTCCGCTCACCAGGTAGGGTTTAAAGGTTTAGGGGTTTAGGCCTTAGGGTTTTTTCACCTCCTACCTAGCAAGGGCAAAGCCCGCATTGCAGGGAGTCTTGGCTTAGGGTTTAGGGGTCTAGGGTGTAGGGGTTTAGGGGTTTGGGGGTTATGTAGGGTTTAGGGTTTTTTGTCTCCCGCCTGGCTAGGACGAAGCTACGATGCAGCATCTCTTGATTAGGGGTTTAGGGTTTAGGGGTTCAGGGTTTAAGAGCTAGGGGTTCTTTGACACTCACACTCGGGCAAGCCTGGCAAGGTCTGCAGTTGCAGGTTCGACGACTTCGTTGGGAGGGGTTTAGGGGTTTAGAGCTTAGAGGGTCATCTAGGGTCTTTTGCTTTGATAGGTTTGGCTTGTGGTGGATGGTTTGGCAAGGTTTTGAGGGCCTTGGTCCGTATTAAGACCCTATCAAAACATGTTGTAGATCCCTCACAGAACCCGAAACCCCAAAATCCGAACTGCAGGATTTCAAGATGGCTTTTAAGGCTTTCGGGTGCTAAGGTTTACGATTTTCGGGTCTGTTAGGGGTTAGGAATGGGTCTAATTGGGCGTCAGGGTGCAGGATTCTAGGGTTCCCGTTTCCTCCAGCATGGCCGGGTCCAGTATTTCCGCTTGGCGTGTTGCTTGCGGAAGACGGGGCGAAGGTTGCGATCAAATAAGCCCCTGCCCCAAACTCAGGTACCGCTGGGAGCAGGGGACTTAGGAAGTAGGTTAGAAAAAAGGTGATAAGGCCCCCTAAATGGAGTTACCCCAACTATGACCCGACTTGCAACCTACTTACTAAGTCCCCTGACCCTCCAAGCGGGCCAAGAAACGGGTCTAGGACTGGGACGCTCCCAGTCCCCGAAACGCCAACAGACCCTCCATGCATAGAAGAAGACTAAGACAAGACAAGCTTTGAAACTAATGTAGGGGCCATCTTATTCTAGGGCTATATTATGTACTATAATTAGAATAAGGAACCCCCAAAGGTATAGGTAATTATTAAGGCCCCGATATTAACAAAACCAAAAAGTGGAGAAAACAGATGATTAGTTCGACCTGGGGTCCACCAAACATTCCGGTAATGTGGGAGGTCTTAATAATACTAAAACGGGACTCCGGGGTATGCTGAGGTATGCTTTTGCTAAGGGATGATAAGGACCCGCAAGGAATAGTATTTACCAATTCCGACCCCTACATTCCCAGAGTACTCCTAGTAACTGAACGGCTAGTCTGTGTGGAAGAAGCCTCCCTTGCCGGTGCCTGCAACTTGCTTTCCAAAGTGGTCGTACGTTTTTCGCTTCTCCGGGTCATGCAAGGTGTCGTAGGCCTGGCACCGGGGGGAGAGGGGGGGGGCTCGAAGTCTAGGCATCTCGTTGCGCGACCCTGTTCTATACTGAACTTAGAACCCTAGCAAAAGTTATAATTTTAGCTGTTTCTTAGGGATTATAATAACCAAAGATTAAAAAATATTTCTAAGTACCCCTAAGTGTTTTCTGGGAGATAAGACTTATGGAAGCTTCTGCAGCATAAGCACATAAACCCCACTTGAGAACAACCTCTGCGTACTATGCCTCCTCATCTCGTATTGCACCTCTTCGACTTCTGCAACCATTTACTATAATGCCTCCCTGTCACGATGCCACGGGACAGGGCCGCTGGCTTCCTGGTAACATTCATACGATTCTGGTGCCACAATCATTGCACGACCACCTCTGCACCTCTTCCTGACCTGTTTGGTGCTCAGAACTATAGGGGCCTTAATAATAATTAGACTAGGATTTTGGGGCCCATGATACTATAGTCACAAGAATATTACTGCCAAAACTAGTATTTGTAATTATTTCTGCCTCTGAGATCTGCTTGAACTTTATCTCCGACTCGTTCTTGTTCTCCTTCTCCTGCGAGGCTGCCGGGGGTTTTACTTAAAGGATCCTGGGACTTAGTAATAACTACAGTAGGGTTTAGGGATTTAGGGATTTAGGGTTTAGGGTTTTGGGCTTTAGGGTTTAAGGATTAGGGGTGTCAAGGACCATGGGACTTAGTAACTAGGGTTATACTGTTATACTTTAAAGGGCTCCTTTAAAGGGATCTATAGGGGGTTCTAATATAAGAGGGGTTTTAGGGTCTACTTAAAGGATCATGGGACTTAGTAACTAAGCAACTAAGGTTTTAGGTACTGCCCCCATACAGTAAGCGTCCATACTAGGGCTACTATTCTCTCTCTCTTCGGCTTCGGCTTCGGCTGCGAGGGTTGAGTCCGCCAGGCGGACCCGGGCCTTAGGCCCCCCTCTCCCCCACGCGGTGGTGGTAGAGAAGGCTTGTGGGGTCAGAGGTCGGGAAACAAAGACAAAGGTTTGTGTGAGCTGTGGAGTTTGCCTGGCAGGAACCCCCCCCTAACCCTGAACTTTAGCCCGCGTCCCGGCCTCATCGCCGCGCCCCCTAAGGCTAAGTCCTAAGTTCCTGCGACAGGCAAAATCCCCCACTATGGTCTGGCAAACGGTGGTCGCCTCCCAAAAAACCACAACACTCTAAGGGCCGAGCAACGACTATGATGTAGTAAGAACACAGTCGTGGGCTGACTCCCCCGTTGCAAAAGCTTCCATCTAGGTTTCTGTTGAAAAGCTGAGCGAAAAGGTCATCCCCCAAAGTGGTGCCGGCAAGTCTCTGACGCAATGCCAATTTGTGCAAGTGCAAGGGCGTGTGGCCCTGTTGGTAGTTAGTCGGAATGGCTCCAGCGGCCCGTCTTGAATTAAGCTCATCATTGTAAGCTCGCAGAAAGACTGTTGAAGAAACTTCCCCCGCTCATTGCTTGTAGGTCACGTCGTGGTATCACCCCGCATATGCGCTTGTACACGTCTCACAGCATGCCACATGGGTCCAGGTGGTAGTAGTCGGACCTGGTTGGGGTCGCGTTGTGTGCCCCCCGGTCGTCTTTCCCCACCTCGTCCTCGGTCTCGTTGTCTTGGGCTGCGGCTTGGTAGCGATGGTCGCGCCCCAGCATCCGTGGAACTGTTCGAGCCCCCCACGGTGCTCGGCTTTTCGGTTGTCGTCGTCTTCTCCTCATCGTCGCCCCAGTCCACTTCCTCTTCTTTGAAGCTCTCCGTGGCTTCCGCAGTCGGGTTCACGCGGGCTATATCTGTTGAGCTCCCCGCCTTCATCTCATGCTTGATCCGCTTCCCCTCGTGAGCTGTGTCTGTTGAGCTCCCCGCCTTTATCTCACGCTTGGTCCGCTTCTTCTCCACTGCGCGTTGGTTGGCCTTCTTGTCCTTCTTCAACTTTTTGGTCTTTTTGTGGTCCTTCTTGTCCCGGTCCTTCTTCTTCGTCTTGTCCCCCTTTTTCTCGGCTTTGCTGCCCTTCGCCCCCTTCGTGAGTGTTGTGGGTTGGTTCTTGTAGCATTGCTTTGCTTGGCTTAGCATCGCCCCCACCTTCCACGGGTGTTTGGCTATATACCAAAGGAGCTCCGCGACGATCTTTGGGTTCCCCTCCTGGACTATGTCGACGAGTTTGTCGGCTTGTCTTCCGGTCTCTCTTCTCGCATTGTGCCTTTGCACATATTGCTCCCACTCCTGAGTGTTGGCCTCGTCGAGGATCTCCCCCGTTATGCGGTCTTTGTATTTCCCCGTTTTCCAGTTCTTCTTGATGTTCTTCCCGATCCACCGGTCCAGCGGGTCTGGTTCGTACAGGAGAGCTCTCCCCTTTTCAGTCTCGAAGCGAACGTAGTCGGAGTAGGGCTTTGTCCTCCCCGCGGCTTCGCAAGTCCCTCCCCCTTCGGGTTGGTAGAGGTCATGCTCATCAGCCACGTCCCTCTGCTTCCGTATGTTGCTGGGTGCCGCCGTGCTGGCGATCCCCCCCGTGGCAACGCGTTGCTTGTAGCATGAGGCGCCACTGTCGTGGCTTTTGTGGCAAAAAGGTCCTTCAAGGCATGCTCGACATGTCACCCCCATGGCCTTAAGTTTCTCCGCGACTGCACACTGCTCCTGCCAGGTCGTCTTGGTTCTGCCTGGCTTTGCCGATGGGTCTCTCTCTATTCGGCTTCTTCCACCTCTGGGGCTGTCTTTCCCCCCCGGCTTGGATCTTGAAGAGCTCGACATGGATCGTGAGGTGGTAGTAGGACAAGGTCTCCCCGTGGTCCACAGTGCTGAAGTATGCTCCGTCCCCCTACTGGCGGGCCACCCTCCCGGAGGAGGGGCCGCGGTCAGGTTCGGGAGGGTGCGCTGGCAAAGGGGCCTCTTAAGCAAGACGGCAGCGGGCGGAGACTCAAGCACCACTGGGTCAAGGCGAAGGTGGCTCCTCCGGGGTAACAGCCCAGAGTAACCCCCTGCCTCTCCCCCCCGGCACAAGAGGGCGAACAGACCCCCAAGTACAAGGTGTGGCACTTGAGCCAAAATGGCTACTCTCTCTCTCTCTCTCTCTCTGCCGTTGCATCCAGAGGGTCTAGCAGCGCCAGGGCTACTATTGAGGTCCTATATTATGAGTACTATTCAACTATCACTGAGTGGGGGCCGTACCCAACTAGGGTTCCTAAAAGGGCTCCTTTCAAGGGATCTATAAGGGGATCTATTATAAGAGGGGCTTTAGGGTCTACTTAAAGGATCATGGGACTTAGCAACTAGGGTTATAATTAGGGTAACTACACTTATAACCCCAATTAGGGTACTTATAACCTGACTTACTAAGTCTCATGATCCTTCAAGTGTGCGAGTCGAAACTATACTTGGTGGATCATGGGACTTAGTAAGTAAGGTTATAAGTACCCTAGTTGGGGTTATAAGTGTAGTTACCCTCATTATAACCCTAGTTACTAAGTCCCACGATCCTTTAAGTAGACCCTAAAACCCCTCTTATAATCGAACCCCCTATAGATCCCTTTAAAGGAGCCCTTTAAAGTATAAGCCTAGTTACTAAGTCCCCTGATACTTTAAGCACTCGCTCAACGCAGGCTCGGCTTCGTGAGATCCCGTTGCTACCGTTACTACCGTCATATACCGGGTACATTCACCGCTCCGGGTTAAGACGGTCTAGTGTTTCGGGGTTCAGCTTTCTGGTAATATAGGGACCTTTATAACAAGAATATTGCTTTGCGGCCCATTCTAGTACAAATATAATAAGGAACACACCAAACCAATATTGGCAATGATTTAGGCCCCTACATTATAGAACACTCTTGTAGATCCCTCATAGAACCCTTCAAAAGGAACCCTAAGGCCCTTCAACCCGTTTCTGCCACACTGAGTCGACCTGTCCTGCTGCTTGTCCGGGTGGTATTGCAGCGCGAGTTTTCGAAAGGCTTTGGTCACCTCGCTGCTGTTTGCATCCCGGGAGATGCCTAGCACCTGCAACAGGCCGCAGGTTTTAGGGTCCGGGGTCCATGGTTTAGGGCTGAATATAGAGGCCTTAATAAGCCCTAATGATTAGGGTAGGTTTCGACCAGGAAGGTTCAGGGATTAGGGCTAGGTTTAGTGTGACATTGACTGGGTTTCGACTCGGACGCCCGCGGGCAGGCGGGCCAAAGATCCAGGGGTTCAGGTCTTTCGCTTGCAACCAGAAGATTTGTGTGCTACCCACTGACAGCACTAAACGTCAGATCAGAAGCGATAGCCAAGCCCATGGAATCACGACCGGGCCACCACAAACAGCGGAGCTACCAAGGAACCCTACTACCGCAAAGAATACTGGAATTTAGGGCCTTAGTTGGGTTTAGGCTTTGTTTTTTGGGTTCAGGCTGAAGCCTAAACCCCGGTATATCTAAGTAGGCGAGCGTGTTCCCTAGGATCAGTTTAAAGGACACTTGCAAGTTGGAAGCTCCTCCAACGGTGCGTGCAATTAGAGAGCCCCCTACAGTTTCATCGAGGAATATACATTAGTTCTACGGGGCTTACAGTTATGATTAGAGGTATGTTCATTTAATTCAGCAGTGTTGGGCTCTCTGGGTGGGTTGTGCCAATTGATTTCTTCTGCAGGGATGCGGGGTTAATACTTGGGTACTGCCCCGCCCTGTAACAGTCTATACTAGGGGGTCATAGTAAGAGCTATATGAAAAACTACATATTCTGAACATTATCCAGCTGTGAAAGGGTGGTGTCCAAACTATAGGTGCCGGGTTTGGGAGAAGATTTCATTTTAGATTTATATATTGAACCCTACGAGGAATGCAGGCTTCCACAGTAGATGCAAAACACGGTTGAAGAGCAACTCCCGAGTTGCTTCGTACCATGACTGCAGAGCAGCCTGAAATCAAGCCTGCCATAAACCTCCTGTTGCATATATCCTTTGTTTACCTGGACTACGCATATGCCAGGAACCGAGGCGCCGAATGGCGCCGATACATCCTGGAACCTAAACCCTCATCCCATTTAAAGAAAGGGGTTTGTTCATCAGGGATCTACATTGCTGGACCTTGAAACCCAAGGTCTCCGGCAACCTGATGGACAACTCCTAGTATAGAACCCTTTAGAGGGGCCCTTGAAAGGGAACCCTTTAAAAGAAGCCTTACGGGAACCCTGAGAAGAACCCTTGAAAGGAACCCCGAAAGGAGCCCTAGTCTAATTCGTTAAGCCACCTTTCAAGATCACGTCAGGACCAGGCCTGGTAATAGTCATCCGAGTCAACGTTTGATATCCTGTCAGAGGGTCTCGGCATTTGGTAAGCGTCCCAGTTCCGTCTCGCAAGATCCAGGAAGCGGTTTTCCGGGTTTCGGCGCTCACACTCGCACAATCCAGGCGAGGCATGCGCTTCGGAGTCTGACGAAGAATTTAGGCTTTAGGGTTCTGAGTCATCCGAGTCGATATTTGATATCCTCTCTCAAGGACAAATATCTTGGCCTTCAAGATTGAAATCTGGTTTTGGGACTTTAAGGGGATGCTGCGATTAATTCTTGCGACCACTATATGATTAAACTTTCGAAACCTTTCCAGCGGGCTAGCATGGGCTAGCAGTCCAAGGTCGGACGATGAGGGCTTACGGCCTCAGGGTGTCGGGTTTCGAGGTTTCAGGGTGTGTTGGCTCCCCAGGGTTTTAGGGCCTCGGTCGCCTTTCTCGGCTATGTGGGACTCTTGAGGTCAAGCGTCGCTGCTAGGACCTGCGATTGAAGCTACAGTAATAAGCGCAGCAGAGTTTAGGGTACAGTTTATGGTAGCCGTCTGAGTGTATCGACACAGCATGACCGCTGCTGCTTCTACCGGGTCAATCGTGTTGTTCTCTTCATCGATACACCATGGACGCCGATACGTGAGGATTTAAGATTGCTGGTCTCCAAAAACTTCAGCGGTCTTCAAGCAGCTCAGCCTACATCCCAGGTGCCTGGTCATCACCCCAGGCCGTCTGCAAGAGCACCGATCTACGATCGGCTCACCCTGAGAGCCACGGTCCCGGCGGAAGAACCCAGCGACTCGGACACCCTGCAGTAAAGAACAAAGCCTACTTAAAGGATCATGGGACTTAGTAACTAGGGTTATAATTAGGGTAACTAAAACTTATAACCCCAAGTAAGGTACTTATAACCTTACTTGCTGGTCCTCCAAGTATTTCGGCCTCTACATTACTCCCAAGCCTTAACAACAAATCCGAAACCCCAAACCTAACCCCTCCCAAAAGAGACCCCGAAGTCACGAACCCTGATCCTGTCACCACCTCCTGGTACTACGCTTCATTCTGTAGCTGCAGCTTGCATCACTGATTGGCGCAGCAGGACTCATGCATCTAGCACTGCATGTGCCCTATTGCCACTCTAACCGCCATACCCGAGAAAAATTAAGGATACATGGCATCAAGAGGCTTTGTTCGGCTTTACGCTCTCCTTTGTTCGGCTTTAGAGTTTGGCTTGTTTCGGGCTTGCAAGGGTTTTGCAGCATGCATGGCCCTTGAACCCTATAAAACCCTCGTGGCACCCTACTAAATCCCTTCAAAAGCCTAGCAAAGCCACCAAAAGCATCCCAAAGCCTATTAAGCCTAAACTACGGTTGATGGTATAAATCCTGCATGACCCACAATAAGGAATATACCATAATTCCCATAGTTTAGGGCCCTTAAGGTCATGCAGGATTTATATCATCCACCGTATGAACCCGAAGCCTCATAGACCGCATCCCGACAAACTACGGGAAAACCCCTTGGCTGCCGGGTGCAACGCCGAAGCCGACCGGACGCCTGATCAGGGCTCTGGAAAATACTTTAAGGGCTCACTAGAATGCCCAGAGAGCTCCAGAGAGCTCAATACCCCGTGTTTCAGGAACATACCTTAAATCATGATCTTGGCACCCTTATAGGTTACGGTATAATCCTTCATTGAGGAACAAAGGGTTCCACGGGGCATTGCCATAAGGATTCTGAAATATCAGCTCTTGGCTTTGAGGGTTTAGGTCCCGAAACCTAGAAGCGTGGCGACTCTCCCAACTCTCATGCTTTGACGGCTTCAGGGCTACAGAGGGGTTCGGAAGACTCCTATCCAGTGCGATTCGTAGATCTGTAGGCTCCCATCCCTCGAAGCCCCAGGCGAAGCCTACCAGAATCAGCCCAAACTGCAAACCCCAAACCGTTCTGCTAAACTTGAAGCCCGTTTGGACTTGAGGACTAGCCAGATCCGCTCGACCTGCCCTGAACCCTAAACCCTATAAATCTCTCAAAGGAACCCTCATAGCACCTTTCAGCGAACCCTTATAGCACACCCTTAAAAGAACCCTGAAAGCACCTTTACAGGAACCCTGATGATACCCTTTCAAAATGAACCCTTATCACACTCTTACAGGAACCCTTATAGTACCCTGTAAAGGACCCCTCGGGTGGCGCCCGCTGCCAGCCGCCACGAGGAGGCGCCAGGCGTCGCCCATCGGGGCCGGAAGAGCGCCGGGAGAACGCCTTTTTGGACGGTTTTTTTCGTTTTGAGGTGCAATTTGTGGAAGGCTTGGGATTTAGGGTTTAGCGTTTGATAAGGTTTATCGGGCTTATAGGGTTGATGGGGTTTACGGTTTAGGGTTTTGGGCCGGGGGTTCAAGTTTGTAGTGTTGAGGGTTGAGTTTCAAAGCTTGTTGGGGTGCAGCTGGTACAACAGCGCCGTGTGTTGACACTTGGGACCCTAAATTGTGCGGTCGGATTGATTCTGTTTGGCAACACGACGGATCGAGCGAATTGAAGCGAACAGATTGTCTGGCTTTCAAGCTGTGGATTTGTCTGCCTGCTCTGCATTTTGCATGTCTCAGCTCTTAACTCCAGGCTTTGTTGGATGTCGCGACTTTGTCGAATCTTGCCCGATCTGGGGCGAAAGGGGTGTGCGAACATACGCGGATCAAATCCTCTTTCCGGCAGTGTTGGGCCTGCAGCAGCAAAATGCAAAATTTTGCTGCACGCCCTTAGCATTCCTAAATTGGCACAGTACGATGAATTTTCTTCTTCTTGCAACGCACATGTCATGTAGCTGATGCAGCTTCAACACTGGCTGTCGCCAGCCAAACGAATATCAAGTGCTGCCTACCACAGAGTTTGTGTTCAACCACGAGGCTCTGTCTCATGGATATGCACCGACTTGCAGGAGACCAAAACCATCTTTCGCAAACGAAGACTTTCTCCGTTGTGGCCTAGGAGAGACAGCCTGCCCACCCAGTGTAAGACCACCCACGAAATCTAACGAGGTAAGTGAAGTAAAAGAATCACAGCTTCTGTATTGTCAAATAGCTGCAGATGCTGTAAGCGCCCAGCCGCCGTTGCAGGCAGTCTTCAAGCAATGCCTCAGCTGTGCACCGCTTGCTCGCGCATTCGCGCTTCCGGCACTCAGCCGTTATCTTCCAAGCTGCTGCTGTCGTTTGCGCCGTGATCGGCGTAGGCTGGATCTCCCGCTCGCCTCGGTACAGCCCGAGCGCCCCCAACCTTTCCGCTGAAGTGCTTCGGGTGTTTTTCAGTTACGCTGGTGGCTTGGAGAAGCAAAGAGCCGGAGCTGTGGTCGGAGGCCGCGCAGTGCGTGTATGGAAGTATCCAACAAGCTCCGTTAGGCTGCTTGACTCAGAGATGGCGAGGCAATGATAGGCATGGCCTCGGACTAGTTCCTTCTGCTGCGATGGCTTAACCCTATAAAACCTAGCAAAAACCTGAATCGGACACCGTACGCCCGGCTTCAGGCTGAGGAAGATGAAGTCCAGGTGCGCATCTGCTCATGCAGCTGCAGGGCGAGGATCCACTGCCTCCGGCTTATGATCTGGCGCTTCGCAGCCCTTTCAGGGATGCTTAGAAAGGTGTATTCAGGATTTTGTCGATTTTGATCTAAGGAGTTTATGAGGTTTTTGTCAATAGCTCCAGCGCCGGAAGGCACTTTGCGTACGGGCCATGTTTACCCTCCTGAGTCTTCCAAGCAAAACATCGCATCTCAGGATCTGGAGAGAGAGAGAGAGAGAGTACCCTACTCGGCTGGGGATTTCGACCCCAGCACTCGCACAATGCAAGTTAAGGCAGGTGAGGGTTTAGGGTTTGAGGAGGGATCGGCACCCTTTGGCTTTGAAGGCCTTAGGCCAAAACCGAAGACCGGCAACCTGAAAAGCAACGATACCCTAAGGCAGGCGTAGCTGGACGACCGGCCATGCCTCCTTACATACTTGGAGGTTCATGGGGGAAGTTATAAGTGCGGCCCCACTTATAACTACCTATGAAACTCCAAGTAATGCTATTTAACAAGAGGGCTGTGCCTTGATGATTTTTATAAGGTGGGTTATTGGACTTTCCTACGTTATGCAACTGTTCGAAAGGGAGCCACAACCTGACTGCTAGAGCATTTAATTCAGGATGGCATTCAGCATGGCAAAACCCCCCTTTGTCTTCCCTGCAGTACCGTTATAGAAACCGAGTTCAGCAGAACCCCCGCCCGCCCTTCCGACAAGTTTTGGGGTCCTGCTCGCCGCCAGCCCCTTGAGGTAGGCGTTGCACGTCAAGGCATCCTCTTTAAACCCGGAAAGCCCTCAAACCCAAAACCTTCAACCGACCTCAATAAAAAAGGCTTCGGAGAAAGGGCTGGCTGTCAAGTTCTTAAGCGTACAGGGGGTTTAGGTTTCTGCTCTTTCCAGCGGGGTTGACGCAAGGAGGAGTCTACTGCGACATCGGGTTTACGCTCTCGCAACTCGGACGAATCCAGACGAGGTTCTTAGCCTGCCGGTTTGGAGTATGCGTTTAAGGTTTCTCGCTCGTTGCTCTCCGCAGCCGTAAGCTCCGCATGCACTTAATTAGAAAACCCCGGATGGACGCCATCCGGCGGGTGCCCTGTTCCCTTGGAAACAGGTGTCAGACCAGCCAACAGGCTTTTGGAGTCGCGTTGGCTTCTGGAGAGGCCCGCTCAGGTGGACAGGTCCCCCTCTTCGTCTCGAGTCAGCCTCCGCGAGGGAGCCATTCTTCGATGCTCCCCTAACTGCGCCACGCCTTGCTGGCTGAGGAACCCAGCAAACCGCCCCGCTTGGGAGGCAAAGTGCTCAAAGAGAGCCTGTAGCCTTTCTGTGGTGCGCGCCTTTAACTGTCGTAGCAGCTCCGGCTCACGTTGGGCCAGAAGCCGTTCAAGGCCGCTGCCGCCACCCCATTGGGGGTATGGCAAGCTTGACCAGCTCCCCAAGTCGTAGAAACGGACACTGTTATCCTCATTCAAGCCCAAGTTGGACATCGTGATGTCTGCCACCCTGACCCTGCAGGCTCCCAGCCAGGTAACCACGGCCCGCAGGTAGCTGAACCATTCCCTGACGCGTTTAAGGTTTCGACGCTCACACTCGCACGAGGCAGGCGAGGCTCCGCATAGTCCACAGGATCTCCACTACGCTCAGAAGGGTGTAATGCTGATTACTTCGACAAACATCAGTGATGAATACTTCCACACATACAGTTCAACTGAACAGCACGTGCTAATACAAGAATAGGTACAGCTCTGCTTTCGTCGGGACATATGCCCACTGTTTCAAAAAACAACTTAACCATTCTCCGCTATTGTGGCTCAGCCTCCTACATGCATTCAGAAAACTCGTTCATTAATTCAGCTCATCTTGCCAAACTGTCCCAGCCAGTTTCATGCAGTAATGCTCTGGGCAAAGATCCGACCCAGAAATCACCAGCTGTTGAATTCGTGAGTTCACAGAAGTCGAGTGGGTAGACTTCCTGAATGCATGAGCTCATCAATCTGCTTGCAGATCAATCACGGGCAAGAGGCGCACGCAGCGAGCCTTTTTCTTTTTGAATTCCCGGAGACTGTGTGCAACAGACTCCTTGACTTCATGAATTCGTCATTGTATCGAGGCACCCATTTCCAGGCTTACCACGGAGCAGCAAAGGAGGAATGTCTTGCAGAGCGAAT